CATAGGGGTGCATGCATCTTTTCAAATTAGTCTTTTTATTTTCTTTGGATAAATACCCAGTAGTGTCATTATTGGATCATATGGAATTCTACCTTTAATTTTTTGAGGAATGTCCATACTGTTTTCCATAGTGACTATACTACCTTGCATTCCCACCAACAGTGCATGACAGTTGTTGTTTCTCCACATCATTGCCATACCTGTTATTTTTGTTTGTTTGTTTGTTTTTGTTTGTTTGTTTGACTCTAGCCATTTTGACAAGTGTGAGGTGATATCTCAATACGGTTTTGATTTGCATTTCCCTGATGATTAGTGATGTTGAACATCTTTTCATATGTCTGTTGGCCATCTGTATGTTTTCTTTGGAAAAATGTCTATTCATGTCTTATGCCCATTTTTAATTGGATTATTTGTGGGTTTTGTGTTAGAGTTGTATAAGTCCTTTATATATTTTGGATATTAACCCCTTATTGGATATGTCATTTGCAAGTATCTTCTCCCATCTGGTAGGCTGTCTTTTTATTTTGTTGATGGTTTCCTTCACTGTCCAAAAGCCTTTTATTTTGGTGTACTCTCAATAGCTTAATCTTTTTGTTTCCACTTGGGGAATTGATACAAGTGTAAACAATACTTTAGTCTGAAGATTCACATGTACCGGATGGATCTTTCATACAGAAGCCACCATTAACTTTCCTCACTCCTACAAGTATTTGAGGAAGCTCAACCAATAATTGTTATAGCCCACAGATGATGTGGAGATCTCTTCAGAATGGCTACTCTCAATTCCCTATGGGAACTTCCCAGAAAGAGAGCTGACTCATGATTTATAAGTACTAAGTGGGCAGCTTTACCTAGAATGAGAGGTAAATATGATACAGAAAATAGGATACAAATTTGTAAAATTAAACTACTGTGTGTAGGATTGTTTATATCTCCTCATAAACTCTTCGTAATGCAAGTCACCATTAATTGTGTCCATTCATGAATATGGGCTTGGCACTCAGTCTCTCTGAAACACATGGTTCCAAATTCCACATGTGCCACTTAGGAATGGAGTGACCTTGAGAAAATTAGGACACTTCAGGGTTTTGGATTCATTTTATCTCTGAAAATATGGATGATATGACCAAAATTGACAAATTACATAAATTTGTCTGGCACAGTTACTGCCATATAATAGAGGCTCAGATAAATGAAGGTTCTCTTTTTCTTGTTTCATGTAAAATCTTTAATGATAAAATTGAAATTTTTTATTACTTTTCTTCAGTCATTTATTATTTGAGACTTTAAGTTACTGACTGTCTTTAAGAAAAAAAAAACGATTTGCCTATATTATATGAAGTGCTGAAAATAAATTGGACTTCAGAATCTATAAATCTAGATATAAATTGAGATGCTATCAGTCTTTATCAGTGTAAGCTTCAGAAAGTCACTTTAAATTCCTGGACCTAAAAAATTAGAGATTTAAACTAATTATCACTACTGTGCTACAAATTTCTAAGAGAATAATGTCTTTTTGAATACTGTGTGAAATTACTAAAATATCTTTAAGACCATTGAAACTTATTTTTTAAGGATTTGGAAGGGTCATCTTTTTTTTTTTTTTTTTAATTTTTTTTTTCAACGTTTATTTATTTTTGGGACAGAGAGAGACAGAGCATGAACAGAGGAGGGGCAGAGAGAGAGGGAGACACAGAATCGGAAACAGGCTCCAGGCTCTGAGCCATCAGCCCAGAGCCTGACGCGGGGCTCGAACTCCCGGACCGCGAGATCGTGACCTGGCTGAAGTCGGACGCTTAACCGACTGCGCCACCCAGGCGCCCCTGGAAGGGTCATCTTTTAAAAATGCATTCCATATGTTCTACCTTCTTTAAAAAAGTATTCAGAATACATTTAACCATGTATTGATAAATCTTGATTTATCAAGATTACTATTAAGATTATTAAATATCACAATGTGCTGTTACACTGAACAGTAAAAATATTCATGCCTCATGATTTTTAGATTTAGAGCTTCAGATATATGGCAATACCCTTCCAAAATCTGAAAAACATAAACTCTTATCTTTAAAAACAAAGTCAGAAAAATAGTCAAATTTTGTTTTTCCTTTCAAGTGAAAAATAAATAAGACAGGCTATGTGTTTATCCTAGGTAAAGACTCTATCTGAATATACGGTTGACCCTTGAACAACACAAGGGTTAGGGGCACTGACCCCTACACAGTCAAAAACTATGTATAATTTTTAGCTCCCCCCAAAACTTAACTATTAATAGCCTACTGTTGACTAGAAGTCTTATTGATAACATAAACAGTCAATTAATACACATATTGTGTGTTGTATGCATTTTATACTGTATTCATACAATAAAGTAAGCTAGAGAAAAGAAAATGTAATTTTAAAAAGCACAAGAAAGAGAAAATGCATTTACAGTACCATGTTGGATTTATCAAAAAAAAAAAATCCACATTTAGTGGAACTGCACAGTTCAAACCTGTATTGTTCAAGGGTTAACAATATCAGTAAGATTTCCTGCATTATTGGGGATCCTGGGTGGCTCAGTTGGGTAAGCATCTGACTCCTGATTTCGGGTCAGGTCATGATCTCATGGTTCATGGTATCGAGCCCCATGTTGGGATCTGCACTGACAACGTGGAGCCTGTTTGGGATTCTCTTTCTCCCTCTCTCTTTGCCCCTCCCCCACTCTCTCTCTCTTTCAAAATAAACATTAAAAAAAAAGATTTCCCACATTATTAAATTTATTCATAGAAACAATTTGCATCCCAACTCATTATTAGGCACTATCCTTGGTGTTTTAAAGTATCTGCAGAAAACAACAATGGGATTCCTGGTGACAGAGCTCTATAACATCAGCACTAGATGAGATTCTGGACAGTGTTAGGTCCCTGACGGCGAAGTGAATGTGGTCTAAGCGTTACTGCAGCTTACTGCCAGTTCAGGCTCCATACAGACATTTTCAAAAATTAATTCCTCCAATTGAAGGGTATTCTGCCAGTTCTTTTTAGACACATGGCCAAAGAATGAAATTAGCATCTAGGGGCTGTGTTGGAGCTTTGAATGGGGGTTGGTGAGGAAGAAGAAAAGATGGATATTGTATGCCACATCATTTGAATCCATTACCTCATTTTTACTTCCTGATTATTCGGGTTCATTTAGAAGCTAATAATCATGTTTCTTAAAATAGAACATCTAATTGCCATGAGTGTGACATCTGAGAGACTGTCCAGGATGGCAAAACCTTTTTCAGATCACAGTGACCTAAACTCTGCTTTTCTGCCTATATCAGGGTATACTGATAGGATTGAGCCCTGACATAATAAAGGGAAATGGATTTGGTAAAGGGAAAATACAAAGATTTCAATGACACACCCTGGACACACGTTGAGCAGCACAAAGAAAATTAATTTTTAGATGTAAATTTTCAATGTTGAAATTGGAAACTAATACTATTTTATTAAACATATGTGGCAGGATAAGTGCTTATTGATAATCTCTATGTAGTATCTTTTCCTATGGAGCTGAAGGCATTTTTTCACTCACACCTCCTTAGTCAGTCAGTCACTATGGGAATCACCTATTTTAGTGGTTTATTTGGTCCTCATTAATAAAAACTATAATTGTATCTTCCTAACTCCCTAACTGTATGAAACAGAAAATTTTCTTCATCTAAAGTGGTGAAATTATGTGTCACTCTTTCATTATAGAGTACATAATTTAATTCTAGAACCTCAAATTATTTGAATCATTTTGCAAAAAGATGTCCACTTAAAATAACAAAGCAGGCATGTAATCAAAAGCATTTCTTTAATGGATCACTTCTTTGTTTTTATTTGTGAACACTCACTAAAGGACACTTGGAGAGTGGGCTACAAGCCAATTGTATTGGTAGTGGTGGCTTTGTTTGTTTTGCATAGAAATTACATTTTAGTAAGCAGCAGACCATCAATAAGAATTTGAAGGAAGTGCTCTAGACTTCCTAATATAATATTTCCAAACGTCTCAAATACCCTGGAAAATAGGTACATTACTTTCTCTAGGAAAAATTCTAAAGTCTTATTTTCTTAATATAAATAGTAAAAGAGTTTCTGTGAATTGAGGAAGTTATTGATAAGGCATTTATTACATTTCTTCCCTTTAAACTCTAACTACTACTTACAATCCTGGCTACTTTCTCCACCTGTGACTCCCAAGATATTTCTATGAACTTTCCTCCTTTTATAATTTACTTTCTCTGCATAAAGTTTACTTACTGCCTTCACTATTCCTTCAGAGAGCCTTGTTTGTCGAGTACAAATATGAGAGACAGTTCTAAGGAAGAGTGAATGGGACCTAATGACTTATTTGATACTGGGGGCAAGTGAGATGACAGTATTAAGATAAGAAGAATGAGGAGACTTTGGTTACCAGCAGAAATGGAGGTAGTATATTTATTTATTTCTACAAGTAAGGATCATCTGCTGCCCAATTTCTGAAGAATTTGCTGCACAAACTGAAAAGTTTGTTGCCAGCTTGAGTTCTGGAACATTTATTGGGGTTTCTGTTGTTCTTCCCCAACAATAGAGAAACTGAAAGTGATAAATCAGCACTTTCTTAATGACCCATTCCAAGTTCCATCTTTCTTTATTATTTTCCAAGATAGTTTAGATGTTTTTCTGTTCGTGCTACCTCACCTAAAGGTAGATTTTTCTTAAGATCCTATCTTATATACTTGAAACTGGAAACTTGAAAGCTTTTCACTTTTCACTCTATCCACTATGATGCCAGACATTGTACTAGTATGGGGGGGGAGGGGGGCACATTCAAACCAACCAACCAAGAAAACCTCTCTGCCTCCAAAAGCTTACAATTTAAACATGCAAAACAATTAATGCCATACAATATGGCAGGTATATGGTAAAGAGGAAGGGAGAAGAATGCAAGGAATCAACAAATTCTACCTAGGAAATGAAGCATCACAAATGGCTTCACAGAGGTGATACATCTACCTACTTTTGAACAAATAATAGGAGTTTGCATTCCATGCAGAGAGAGTAGGTGAGTGTAGGTACAGAAGCAGCAAACAAACTGATGTGCTCAAAGAATGTCAAACAGATCAGCATGTATAAAACAACTGTGCAGAGAAGTATTCTATAAGAGATAAAAAAAAAAATGGATAGGCAGGCAGGATGCCCTTTATAGAAGACATATGACATTTCTAGGGGCTTTGTGATTGTCTGTCCTACACACACCTACCCCCAATCTCCATTATGTGGAAACTATGCAGTTTGAATAGGATTTGCACCAGTGCAAGTTCAGAGGTGGGCCATGATTGATCTCAACCATCAAGGTAATTCCACACCCCTTCCACACTGAAAGACACTAACCAAGACCTAAATAAGTCACTGCACTACAATTTCCCAAGGGATTTGTTCAAAGAACATCCAATCATCACAAAGCTAAAAGCTTTTTTAATTTTTTTAATGTTTGTGAGAATTGACTGCAACTGCCCTTTCTCTGAAGAAGGAAGGTCTTTGTCCCATTTGCAGCTAAACAAATGAAGCTAATGAGTGGAAGAGAGGATCAAAAGAAAAGTGGAAAAAAAGTGCATGAGGCACAGCCTTAATTTTAGTGAGATGATCCAGTCAATAAAAGTCAATTGACTTTATCATTGAGACAGAGTTAGTGTTAAATTTCTAATACACCACACTTTAGGAGTCATTAGAACATTTTAGTTAGAGATATAATATCACCAGTTTTATGTTTTAGAGAGACCATTCAAGCCATGTGTGTAGAAAGGATTTGAAAAGCACAAGTCATAACGCTGGCAACCTAACTTGCTAACAGCATGCCCTACCCCTAAGCTCTCCTACAGACACATGCTCTCCAGCCCAGCCTCAGTTTTAGGTTCTCTCCTACAGCAGACCCAGGCAAACCTTGCTAATGCTACCTGCTTCTGTAGATCTTCCCCCTTCAAAATGCCTTTGGCCAGACCTTATCCAAAGTGGTACCACAAGCCTGGCAAGCAGCCCCAACAAGAACTCCTACCATGGGGAAAGGGTAAGATAACCACACACACCAATCTGAAGCCCCAGCAGTGGGCTGGAGGCAGACATCTGGTCTGACTGCAGGCCCTGCCCACTAATGAAAGCATCTCAAAAGACAATCAGGGAAAGTGCCCAGAAGTGTGGTGCTACTGCATGTCTAGCAAATGCCTGGTCTGATTCAACTGAAGCCCAAGGCAGCCCCAGAATGGCCCACTAACAACATGGGGACCAAACTCTGCCCACAACAGACAGGAAGCCATTACAAATGACTGGACTGAAGGCAAAAGCAACTCAGCAATAACAATAGGCACACACAACACACATAGGAGACACCCCTAAAGCTCCAAGTTCTTGTGAACTGGGGATATGGCACTGCAGGGCACTATAAGTACTCTTCTTCATAAGACCCCCACTTTCAAGAGCAGGAAGTGTAGCTGACTCTCCTAACACATAGCAACAGACACAGAGAGTTAGATAAAATGAGGATACAGAGGAATATGTTCCAAATGAAAGAACAGAACAAAATCATAGCAAGAAAGCTAAATGAAACATAGATAAATAATATGCCTGATAGAGAATTTAAAGTAATTGTCATAAAGATACTTACTGGATTTGCAAAAAGTGTGGAGGACCTCAGTGAGACTCTCATCAGAGAGATAAAAAAAACATTAAAAAAACTAATCAGAGATGAAGAACTCAATAACTTAAATTAAAAATACACTAGATGAGAACAGAAGCAAAAATAAATTATTGGGGTTTCATTGAAATAAAAATCTTCTGCACAGAGAAGGAAACAATCAACAAAATTAAAAGGCAACCTTCAGAATGGGGGAAAATATTTGCAAATGACATATCTGATAAAGGGTTAGTATCCAAAATGTATAAATAATTTATCAAACTCAACAGCCAAAAAACAAATAATCCAGTTAAGAAATGGGCAGAAGGAGTGCCTGGGTGGCTCAGTCAATTGAGCATCTGACTCTTGGTTTTGGCTCAAGTCATGATCCCAGGGTCATGATTGAGCCTTGTGTTGGGCTCCATGATGAGTGTGGAGCCTGCTTAAGAGTCTCTCTCTCTCTCTCTCTCCCTCTGCCCTTCTCCCCCACTCTCACTATCTCTACCTAAAATAAAAAAAGAAAGAAAGGAAGGAAGGAAGAAAGAGAAAAAAAAAAGAAAGAAAGAACAAAAGAAGCAGAAGACATGAATAGACATTTTGTCAAAGAAAACATACAGATGACTAACAGACACATGAAAAGATGCTCAACATCACTCATCATCAGGGAAATACAAATCAAATCTACAATGGGATATCACCTCACACCTGTCAGAATGGCTAAAATTAACAACACAGGAAACAACAAATGTTGGCGAGGATTAGGAGAAAGAAAGACCTTCTTACACTGTTGGTGGGAATGCAAACTGGTGCAGCCACTCTGGAAAACAGCATGGACATTTCTCAAAAAGTTAAAAATAGAACTGCTGATGATTCAGCAATTGCACTACTAGGTATTTATCCAAAGGATAAAAAATGATGATTTAAAAGGATACATGCACCCCAATGTTTATAGTAGCATTATCAACAATAGCCAAATTGTGGAAAGAGCCCAAATGCCCATTGACTGATGAATGGATAAAGAAGATGTGGTAGATGGATGGATGGATGGATGGATGGATAGATAGATAGACAGATAGATAGAGATAGAGATACAATAGAATATTACTCAGCCATCAAAAAGAATAAAATCTTGCCATTTTGCAACGGCATGGATAAAACTAGAGTGTATTATGCTATGTGAAATAAGTCAGTCAGAGAAAGACAAATACCATATGATTTCACTCATATGTGGAATTTAAGAAACAAAACAAATGAATGTAGGAGGAAAAGAAAGATGCAAACCAGAAAACAGACTCTTAACTATAGAGAACAAACAGAGAATTGCTGGAGGGGAAGTGGGGGGACATGGGTTAAATGGGTGATGGGGATTAAGGAGGGCACTTATTGTGATGAGCATTTGGTGTTGTATGTAAGTGATGAATCACTAACTTCTGCACCTGAAATTAATATCACACTATATGTTAGCTAACTGGAATTTAAATAAATAATTTAAATAAATAAATAAATAAATAAATAAATAAATAAATAGTAAATATAAACTAAAGTGGCTCTACTGTAATGAGAATGCTAGTTTTCTTATTTCAATAAAAGCAACAGATGGATAACAATAAAAAAAATACTAGAGAGAATCAATCATAGACTAGAAGAAACAAAAGAATGAATTAGCAACCTGGAGGACAGAATAATGAAAAGCAATCAAGCTGAACATAAGAGGAGAAAAAAGAAAAAAAAACTAAAAATGAAAATATATTAAGGGAACTCAGAAACATCATCAAGTGTAATAACATTCACATTATAGGGATCTCAGAAAAAGAGAGAGAAAAGGGGCAGAAAATTTATTTTAAGAAATAATAGCTGGAAACTTCCCAAATCTGGGTAAATAAACAAAAATCCAGATCCAGGAGGCACAGAGAGCCCCCAACAAATCAACCCAGGGAGGTCTACACCAGGACACATAGTAATTAATATGGCAAAAAGTAATGACAAAGAAAGAAATTTTAAACCAGCAAAAGAACAGAAAATAGTTACATACAAAGGAAACCCCATAAAGCTGTGAGCTGATTTTTCAGCAGAAATATTTCAGGACAGAAGGGAGTGGTATCATATATTTAAAGTGATCAGAGGAAAAAAACCTGAAGATTTTTTCAAGGTTCTCATTCACAATAAAAGGAGAGATAAAGAGTTTCTTAGACAAAAGGAATTCATGATCACTCAACCAGTTCTACAATAAGTGTTAAAAGGGACTCTTTAAGTGGAAACAAAAGACCATTAATAAGAGTAAATAAAGTAGGAAGCTCAAAAGCAATAAAATTAAGTATATCTATAAAAATTATCAAGAGTTTCACAAAATGAAAAGATGTAAAGTATGACACCATATACCTAAAATGTGAGGGGGAGAGAAGTAAAGAATGGGCTCAAACTTAAGCGACCATCAGTTTGGTATAAACTGCTGTATGCAGAAGAGGGTACATGCTAACCCAGTGGTAACCACAAACCAGTAATAGACACACAAATGATAAAGAGAAAAGAATCCAAGTATGCCACTAAAGAAAGCCAGCAAACCCTGAGAGAAAAGAGCAAGAAAAGAAAGGAACAGAGAGGAAATTCAAAAACAACTGCAAACAAATAACAAAATAGCAATAAGTACATACATATCAATAACTACTTTGAGTATAAACAGACTAAACATTCCAGTAAAAGGACATAGGGTGGTGGAATGAATAAAAAAGCAAGACCCATCTATGTGCTGCTTACAAAAGACTCATTTCAGACCTAAAGACACAAGCAGACTAAAACTGAAAAGATGGAAAAGCATTTATCCTGCAAATGGAAGTAAAAAGAAAGCTGGGTGCTATACTTATATCAGACCAAATAGACATTAGAACAAAGACTGTAACAAGAGACAAAGAAGAACACTATATAATCATAATGGGAACATTCCAACAAGAAGATATAATGCACCCAACATGGAGCACCCAAATATATAAAGCAGCTATTAACAAATACAAATGAAGTAATCAATAGTAATACAATAACAATAAAGGACTTTAACACCTGCTACATCAATGGATAGATCATATAAACAGAAAATCAACAAGAAAATAATATCTTTGAATGTCACATAGAACCAGATGGATCTAACAGATATATCTAGAATATCCCATCCTAAAACAGCAGAATACACATTGTTTTCAAGTCCACATGGAACATCCTCCAGAACCGATCACATATTAGCCACAAAACAAGTCACAATAAATTCAAAAAGATTGAAGTTATACCATGAATCTTTTCAACCACAATATTATGAAACTAGAAATCAATTACAAGAAAAAATAGGGAAAGTACACAAATATGTGGAGGTTAAGTAACACGCTACTAAACAATGAATGATTCAACCGAGAAATCAAAGGGGACATTTTTTTTTAATGGAGAAAAATGGAAATTAAAACACAATGATCCAAAATATTTAGATGTAACAAAAGTTGTTCTAAGAGGGAAGTTTATAGCCATACACGCCTGAATCAAAAGCAAAAAAAAAAAAAAAAAAAAACCAAAAAAACCTCAAATAAACAATGTAACCTTACAACTAAAGGAGCTAGAGAAAGGAAAACAAAGAAATCCCAAAACCAGTAGAAGAAAAAAAATAATAATAGTAAAGATTAGGGCAGAAATAAACAAACAGAAACAACAACAAAAACAATAGAAGATATCAATGAAACCAAGAGCTGGTTCTTTGACAAGATCGGCAAAACTGATAAACCTTTAGCCAGACTCATAAAAACAAACAAAAAAAGGGAGGATTCAAATAAAAATTACAAATGAGAGAGGAGGAATAACAACTGACATTACAGATATATAAAGGATTATAAGAGAATGCTATGAAAAATTATATGCCAACAAATTGGACAACTAAGAAGAAATGGATGAATTTCTAGAAATATATAACCTCCCAAACTAAATCAGGAAGGAATAAGAAATTTGAACAGAAAAATTAACAGCAATAAAATTGAATCAGTAATCAAAAAGTCCCAAAAAACAAAACTCCAAGACCAAACAACTTCACAGGTGAATTCTACCAATCATTTAAAGAAGGGTTAATACTTACTCTTCTCAAACTATTCCAAAGTATACAAAAGGAAAGAAAGCATCAAATTCATTCTATGTGGCCAGCATTGCCCTGATAAAAAACAAACAAACAAACAAACAAAAACACAACACACAGTAAAAAAAACCACCACAAAAAAGTAGAAACATAAAACTATAGGCCAACATCTCTGATGAATATAGATGCTCAACAAAATATCAACAAAATATTAGAAAGCCAAATCCAATAAAACATTAAAAAAATTATTGACCATGATCAATTGGGATTTATTCCAGGCATGCAAGTGTGGTTCACTATTTGCAAATCAATCAGTGTAATACATCACATCAACAAAAGAAAGGATAAAACCCATATGATCATTTCAATAGGTGCACAAAAAGCATTCGACAAAGTACAGCATCTTCCCATGATAAAAGCCCTCAAAGGTAGCTTTAGAGGGATCATACCCTAACATAATAAAGGCCATATGTGAAAAACCCACAGCTAACATCACACTTAATGGTAAAAAATTGAGATCTTTTCTTCCAAGGTCAAGAACAAGACAAGGATGTCTACTCTCACCACTTTTATTCAACATAGTACTGGAAGTCCTAGCTATAGCAATCAGGCAAGAAAAATAAATAAAAGGCATCCAAATTGGTAAGGAAGAAGTCAAACTTTCACTATTTGCAGATGACATGATACTCTACATGGAAAATCGTAGACTCCACTAAAAAACTACTAGAACTGATCAACGAATTCAGTTAAAGTTGCAGAATACAGGACGCAAAATCAATATACAAAATCTGTTGCATTTCTATACACTAATAAGAAATAAGAAACAGAAAGAGAAATAAGAAAACAATCCCATTTGCAATTACATCAAAACACACACACACACACACACACACACACACACACACACACACACAAAGACACCTAGGAATAAACTTACCCACATAGGTGAAAAACCTGTACTTTGAAAATTATAAAACATTGCTGAGAGAAATTGAAGACAACACAAACAAATAGAAAGATATGCCATGCTTATGGATTGGAAAAACATATATTGCTAAAATGTTCATACCATCCAAACAAATCTATAGATTCAGTGCAATCTCTATCAAAATACTGATAGCATTTTTCACAGAACTAGAAAAAAATAATCCTAAACTTTGTATGGAACCAAAAAGACCCCGAAAGGCAAAGTTGCCTTGAAAAAAAAAAAAAGAACAAAGCTGGAGGTATCACAATCCCAGATTTCAAGATATACTACAAAGCTGTATGGTACTGGCAAAAAAATAGACATGGATCAATAGAACAGAGTAGAAAACCTAGAAATACACCCGCAATTACATGGTCAATTAATCTATGACAAAAGAGGCAAGAATATGCAATGGGGAAAAGTCTCTTCAACAAACTGTGTTGGGGAAAATGTACAGTTACAAGCAAAAAAAGGAAACTAGACCATTTTCTTATACCATATACAAAATAAACTCAAAATAAATTAAGAACTTAAATGTGAAAACTGAAAACATAAAAATCCTAGACAAGGGAGCAGGCAATCATTTCTCTGACATTGGCCATAGCAACATTTTTCTAGACATGTTTCCTGAGGCAAGGGAAATAAAAGCAAAAATCACCTATAGGGACTACATCAAAATAAAAAAGTTCTACACAGCAAAGGAAACAACCAAAACCTACTGAACAGGAGAAGATATTTGCAAATGACACATCTGATAAATGGTTATTATTCCAAATATATAAAGAACTTATACAACTGAATACCAAAAACACAAATAATCCAATTAAAGAATGGGCAGAGGACTTAAATAGATATTCTTCCAAAGAAGACATACAGACAGCCAACGGACATATGAAAATATTCTCAACATCATTCATCAGCAGGGAAATACAAATCAAAACCACAATTAGATCTCACCACAGACCTGTCAGAAAAGTTAAAATCAAAAACACAAGAGACAATAGGTGCTGGGGAGGATGAGAAGAAAGAGGAATCCTCATGCACTATTGGTGGGAAGGCAAACTAGTGCAGACACTGGCAAACAATATGATGGTCCTCAAAAAATTAAAAATAGCATTACCATATGATCCAGTGATTCCATTACTGGGTATATACCTAAAGAAAATGAAAACACTAATTCAAAAAGATATATGCATGCTTATGTTTACTGCATCATTATTTACAAAAGCCGTATTATGGAAGCCTCCAAGTGCTTTGATAGATGCATTGATAGATGAATGGATAAAGAAGAAATGGTACATATACATACAATGGAATATAATTCAGTCATAAAAAGGAATGAAATCTTGCCATTTGCAACAACATGGATGTAGCTAGAGTGTATTATGCTAAGCAAAGTAA